TGTTGGTGGCGAGTATTGCAGGCCATAGACGGGGGGAGAAAAACCGGACTTTTTTTTTTAGAAAAATGAAAAATCGTTCGTTCAATCAGCCGACGTTACCACCATTGGTAAAAAAAAGTCAGCTAATTTTCGTCCCGTCTACGGCCGGCAATTAATATAATAGTGGTGTCCCTGCAGAGAGCTCTGCTATATTCGACATTTAAAAGAAGAAGAAATAGAATATGAAGAAAAAGTTGTAACATTGTATCTATTTGTATCCATTTCGGATACAGATGTTTCTATTCGGATACAAATAGATACAATGTTGCAACCCTTATACTTTTAAATGTCAAATATCATAGTGGAGCCTTCTGCAGGGACACCGCTAATAGATTTGACATTTCTAAGTATCGCAGTTGCAAACATTGTATCTATTTGTATCCATTTCAGATACAGATGTTTCTGTTCGGATACAAATAGATACAATGTTGCAACCCTTGTAGTTTTAAATGTCAAATATCATAGCGGAGCTCTCTGCAGGGACACCGCTAACAGATTTGACATTTCTAAGCATCGCGGTTGCAAACATCGTATCTATTTGTATGGATACAAATGGATACAGATGTTCTTCTTTTTCTTTGGTCACGGCTCATGCACATTTTTTTAATCGGGAAAAATATCGTCCGATTTGCCCAACATTGCCGTGAAAATCGGCCGATGGGCAAAATCGGACGTTTTTTTTTTCCCAACACGAACGGTTAAAAAAAATGTGTCAAAATCAAGACCAATTCAGCCACTAACGATCGGAAAATCGGCCGATTATTTTTTTGGATGAATTTTCAGCCGGTTTTCTCCCCATCTATATCCTGCATAACTCTTAAGGCCTGGCTAGTAGCTCAGGAATTGAAATTTTAAGCCCTGTATTATATTATATATACTGTATATATAATTTTTTTAATTTACATATATATATATATATATATATATATATATAATCCTATATCCAGAGGGAGGCAAAGAAACCCAGCAAAGCACGATCCAATTTGCTCTTGGATGGGGAAATATTCCTTCGTGATCCCCTGAGAGCTCCTTAGGATAGGTCAGTCTGTAGAGTGAAGGCCTGTAGTGGAACGTCATCCAGGAATCCTTAGGTCGCTGCTCTGAGTTCAGCTCGAAGAACATATTTCCCCTTTTTATCACTCACAATATATAGTTTGTTTTTTTAAATTGATTAAATGTATAAAAAAGTTCTCCTTCCTCTCTGACAGTGTATTGTAAAACAGAGATCTGTATAGCAGATTCATGGTGTAAGTAGTGACCCCTGCTGGTGATCAGCTCTCCTGGTCACTCAGCTCTCCTGGTCAATCAGCTCCTTTGATAGCTCAGCTGGTAGAGCGGAGGACTGTAGAGGAATCATCATGCAGGAATCCTTAGGTCGCTGGTTCGATTCCGGCTCGAAGGACACTTTTATCATCATTACTAGAATCCAGCAAGATTTTATCTACACTTCATTTCTTATATTTTGCTTTATTTCCTTCCATGTAAATGTGTGAAAGGAATGGGCTTCTTCATACCTGTCATGTGACTAAACCATTTCTATAAAGTAGTACTAAAGGCTAAACATTTTTTTCTCTAATGCATTCAAGGAATTAAAGTGTCACTAAACCCACAACAGTACAATCAGTCTGTAGATGCTGTAGAGCAGCGTTTTTCAACCACTGTGCCGCGGCACACTAGTGTGCCGTGAGATATTGTCTGGTGTGCCGTGGGAAAAATTCCAATTTCATCTGTAACATGTGGCTTTCGGCTCACAAATAGACCAATCATTAGAATCTAATGATTCAGTGGTCGGCAAGCCGCGGCTCGCGAGCCACATGCGGCTCTTTACCCAGTCTAATGCGGCTCTTCTGTGTGCCGGGCGCCTGCTCCCCTCCCTCCCTCGTCGGCATGCTGGGGAGGGATGGGGCCGCTCCCCTGCCTCCTCTCGGTTGGCAGCCCCAAAAGTCCGCGCGGACCTTTTAATCCGGCTTGCGGATGTGGCTGTCAGGATGTGTGTAGGCGGGGCAGCGTGCCGAACGTGAGGGAGGGGAGCTAGGCTCCTCTCACAGTCCGCCCTGAAGACCCGAACGGCGCGGGAAGACAGCGAGAGGAACGCAAAAGGTAAGTGAATTGACACGGGGACTTGGCTTACTAGAAGGGGGGGGGGGGAATAGTACTGTGGGGGATGAAATACTATATGAGCGAGATGAATTACTTTATGAGGATGAAATACTATATGGGGGGATGAAATACTATATGGGGGATGAATTACTATATCAGGGATGAATTACTATATGAGGATGAAATACTATATGGGGGGGATGAAATACTATATGGGGGGATGAAATACTATATGGGGGGATGAATTACTATATGAGGGATGAAATACTATATGGGGGGATGAAATACTATATGAGGGATGAAATACTATATGGGGGATGAATTACTATATGAGGGATGAATTACTGTATGGGGGATGAAATACTATATGGGGGGATGGGGATTGAAATACTATATGAGGGATGAATACTATATGGGGGATGAAATACTATATGGGGGGATGAAATACTATATGGGGGATGAATTACTATATGAGGGATGAAATACTATATGGGGGATGAAATTACTATATGAGGGATGAATTACTATATGAGGGATGAAATACTATATGGGGGATGAAATACTATATGGGGGGATGAAATTACTATATGGGGGATGAATTACTATATGGGGATTAATTACTATGGGGGATGAATTACTATATGGGGATGAAATACTATATGGGGGATGAAATACTATATGGGGGATGAAATACTATATGAGGGATGAATTACTATATGGGGGGATGAAATACTATATGAGGGATGAATTACTATATGAGGGATGAATTACTATATGGGGGATGAAATTACTATATGGGGGATGAATTATATGAATTATGAGGGGATGAAATACTATATGGGGGATGAAAAATACTATATGGGGATGAATACTATATGAGGGATGAATTACTATATGGGGGATGAAATACTATGGGGGATGAATTACTATATGGGGATGAATTACTATATGGGGATGAAATACTATATGGGGATGAAATAACTATACGGGGGATGAATTACTATACGGGGGATGAAATACTATAGTGGGGGATGAAAATACTATATGGGGGATGAATTGCTATGGGGATGAATTACTATATGGGGGATGAATTACTATGGGGGATGAATTACTATATGGAGGATGAATTACTATATGGGGGATGAATTACTATATGGGGGATGAATGAATTACTATGGGGGATGAATTACTATGGGGGATGAATTACACTATGGGGATGAATTACTATATGGGGATGAAATTACTATGGGGATGAATTACTATATGGGGATGAATTACTATATGGGGGATTAATTACTATGGGGGATGAATTACTATATGGGGATTAATTACTATGGGGATGAATTACTATGGGGATGAATTACTATATGGGGGATTAATTACTATGGGGGATGAATTACTATGGGGGATGAATTACTATATGGAGGATGAAATTACTATGGGGATGAATTATCTATATGGGGGATTAATTACTATGGGGGATGAATTTACTATATGGGGGATTAATTACTATGCTTACTATGGGGGAATATTACTATACTTACTATGGATGACACATACACATCATTCATCTACTCTTGGTCCGGCCCCCGGGTCCAATTATAAAAATACTTTATTATTTCATAATAAAGTAATTATAAAAATAATTTCTTTCTTTGTGTTTTGATTCCTATTCAAGAGAATTACTTATATATATAGTCAATATAGGCACAGAGGTAAATTTTTTTAAAACACTTTTTCTAATGGTGGTGTGCCGTCGTGATTTTTTCATGAAAAAAAGTGTGCCTTTGCACAAAAAAGGTTGAAAAACACTGCTGTATAAGCATGATTTTTTATACTCACTGTGGAACCTAAGGGGGTTAATCCTCTGCATTGTGTAAAAAAAGCAGTTTGATCCTGTCTCTTCTCTGACACCCCCTCCTTCCAGTAAGCCCCCCTCTTATCTTCTGACATATTGTGTGGAGTCCCTCTGCACATGCTCAGTTTTGGTGTGTATTTTTAGAGAATTTTTTTTTCTTGGGAGAGCGCATGTGATCAGCACAGGGCCAATCAGTTCTGGCCAAAAAGGTCAGGGGTCTGCATCCTCCTAGAGAAAACGCCTCCTACAAGCTTTAAACCAGTGCTCTGCTGGACACTGATAGAAGTCACAAGAATGCTATATACTGCTAATGAGAAAAGGTATTTTATCTCATCTCTACTCCCAGGACTCTACATTCATTATATCCGCCCGCTCTCCCCAGTACCCTGCATTCACTTATATCTGGTCTCACCCGGACCCCCGCATTTCACTATATCCGCTCTCCCCGACCCTGCATTCACTATATCCGGTCTCCACAGACCCTGCATTCACTATATCTGGTCTCCCCGGACCCTGCATTCACTATATCTGGTCTCCCTGGATCCTGCATTCACTATATCTGGTCTCTCCGGACCCTGCATTCACTAAATTCTGCTCTTCCATGACCCTGCATTCACTATATCTGGTCCTCCCAGGACCCTGCATTCACTATATTCGCTCTCCCCGGATCCCTGCATTACACTATATCTGGTCTCCCTGGATTCCTGCATTCACTATTTCTGAGGTCTCTCCCGGACCCTGTATTCACTATATCTGGTCTTCCCGGACCCCCTGCAATTCACTATAGCCGCGCTCTCTTGGACCCTGCATTCACTATTTCAGCTCTCCCCAGACCCTGCATTCACTATATCCGCTCGCTCCTTGGACCCTGCCATTCACTATACCAGTCTCACACGTAACCCTACATTCACTATAATCTGCTCTCCCCCCCACCCCGGACCCTGCATTCACTATATCTGCTCTCCCCGGACCCTGCATTCACACTATATCCACTCTCCCGGACCCTGCATTCACTATATCTGGTCTCCCCGTACCCCCCACATTCACTATATCCTGTCTCCTCCCGGACCCTGCATTCCTCTATATCTGGTCTCCCCAGAACCTGCATTCACTATATCTGGTCTCCCCGGACCCTGCATTCACTATATCTGCTCTCCCCGGACCCGCATATCACTATATCTGCTCTCTTTGGACCCTGCATTCACTATATCTGTTCTCTCCGACCCTGCATTTCACTATATCTTGATCTCCCCGGGACCCTGCATTCACTATATCTGGTCTCCCAGGACCCTGCATGTCACTATATCTGGTCCTCTCCGGACCCTGCATTCACTATATCTGCTCTTCCCAGGGCCCTGCATTCACTATATCCGGTCTCCAGGACCTTGCAGTTCACTATATTCGCTCTCCCCCGGACCCAGGCATTCACTATATCTGGTCTCCCTGGAGTCCTGCATTCACCTATATCTGGTCTCCCCGGACCCTGCATTCACTATTTCTGGTCTCCCCGGACCCTGCATTCACTATATCTGTCTCTCCCGGACCCCTGCATTCACTATATCCGCTCTCCTTGGACCCTGCATTCACTATTTCAGCTCTCCTTGGACCCTGCATTCACTATATCCGCTCTCCTTGGACCCCTGCATTCCCACTATATCCGGTCTCTACGTACACAACATTCACTATATTCCGCTCTCCCCCGGACCCTGCATTCACTATATTCGCTCTCGCCCGGACCCTGCATTCACTATATCTGGTCTCTCCCAGACCCTGCATTCACTATATCTGGTCTCCCCAGACCCTGCATTCACTAATATCTCTGGTCTCCCCGACCCTGCATTCACTATGGTCTGGTCTCCCCGGATCCTGCATTCACTATATCTGGTCTCCCCGGATCCTGCATTCACTATATCCCCTCTCCTTGGACCCTGCATTCACTATATTCCAGTCTCTACGTTACACTACATTCACTATATCCGCTCCTCCCCGGACCCTGCATTCACTATATCCGCTCTCCCGAAACCCTGGCATTCATTATATCTGGTCTCCCCAGACCCTGCATTCACTATATCTGGTCTCCCAGACCCTGCATTCCACTATATCTGGTCTCCCCCGGACCCTGCATTCACTATGTCTGGTCTCCCTCCCCGGACCCTGGCATTCACTATATCTGCTCTCCCCAGAACCCGGTATTCACTATATCCGGTCTCCCCAGACCCTGCATTCACTGTATCTGTCTCCCTGGACCCTGCATTTTCACAATATATCCGCTCTCACCCCGGACACTGCATTCACTATATTCCGCTCTCCCAGGACCCTGCATTCACTATATCCGCTCTCCCCGGACCCCAGCATTCACTATATCCGCTCTCCCCAGGACCCTGCATTCACTATATCGCGCTCTCCCCCGGACCCTGCATTCACTATATCTTGGTCTCCCCAGACCCTGCATTCACTATATCTGGTCTCCCGAGACCCTGCATTCACTATATCTGGTCTCCCCCGACCCTGCATTCACTATGTCTGGTCTCTCCCATCTCACTCCTGCATTCACTATATCTGTTCTCTCCGGACCTGCATTCACTATATCTGATCTCCCCGGACCCTGCATTCACTATATCAGGTCTCCCAGGACCCTGCATTCACTATATCTGGTCTCTCCGGACCCTGCATTTCACTAAATCTGCTCTTCCAGGGCCCTGCATTCACTATATCTGGTCTCCCAGGAACCTTGCATTCACTATATTCGCTCTCCCCGGACACCTGCATTCACTATATCTGGTCTCCCTGGATTCCCTTGCATTCACTATATCTGGTCTCCCCGGACCCTGCATTCACTATTTCTGGTCTCCCCGACCCCTGCATTCACTATATCTGGTCTTCCCCGGACCCTGCATTCACTATATCCGCTCTCCTTGGACCCTGCATTCACTATTTCAGCTCTCCTTGGACCCTGCATTCACTATATATCCGCGCTCTCCTTTGGACCCTGCATTCACTATATCCGGTCTCTACTACACTACCATCACTATATCCGCTCTCCCCGACCCTGCATTCACTATATCCGCTCTCCCCGGACCCCTGCAATTCACTATATCTGGTCTCCCCAGACCCTGCATTCACTATATCTGGTCTCTCCCAGGACCCCTGCATTCACTATATCCTGGTCTCTCCCGGACCCTGCATTCACTATGTCTATGGTCCTGATATCCCGGGGATCCTGCATTCACTATATATCTGGTCTCCCTGGACCCTTGCTTTTACTATATCCGTGTCTCCCCGGACCCTGCATTCACTATATCGGTCTCCCCAGACCCGGTATTTCACTATATCCGGTCTCCCCAGACCCTGCATTCACTGTATCTGGTCTCCCTGGACCCTGCATTCACTATATCCCTCTCCCGATGTCCCACGACCCTGCATTCACTATATCCACTCTCCCAGGACCCTGCATTCACTATATCTGCTCTCCCCCGGACCCCGCATTCACTATATCCGCTCTCCCATGGACCCTGCATTCACTATATCCGCTCTCCCAGGACCCTGCATTCACTATATCCGCTCTCCCCGGACCCCGCATTCACTATATCCGCTCTCCCAGGACCCTGCATTCACTATTTATCCGCTCTCCCCGGACCCTGCATTTCACTATATCTGGTCTCCCCAGAACCCTGCATTCACTATATCTGGTCTCCCCAGACCCTGCATTCACTATATCTGGTCTCCCCGACCCTGCATTCACTATGTCTGGTCTCCCCAGACCCTGCATTCACTATATCTGTTCTCTTCCGGACCCTGCATTCACTATATCTGATCTCCCCGGACCCTGCATTCACTATATCTGGTCTCCAGGACCCTGCATTCACTATATCTGGTCTCTCCGGACCCTGCATTCACTAAATCTGCTCTTCCAGGGCCCTGCATTCACTATATCTGGTCTCCCAGGACCTTGCATTCACTATATTCGCTCTCCCCGGACCCTGCAATTCACTATATCTGGTCTCCCTGGATTCCTGCATTCACTATATATCTGGTCTCCCCCGTAACCCTGCATTCACTCTTTCTGGTCTCCCCGGACCCTGCATTCACTATATCTGGTTCTTCCCGGACCCCGCATTCACTATATCCGCTCTCCTTGGACCCTGCTTCACTATATCCGCTCTCCTTGACCCTGCATTCACTATATCCGGTCTCTACCGTACACTACATTCACTATATCCGCTCTCCCCGGACCCTGCATTCACTATATCTGGTCTCCCCAGACCCGGTATTCACTATATCCGGTCTCCCCAGACCCTGCATTCACTGTATCTGGTCTCCCTGGACCCTGCATTCACTATATCCGCTCTCCCGGACCCTGCATTCACTATATCCACTCTCCCAGGACCCTGCATTCACTATATCCGCTCTCCCCGGACCCCGCATTCACTATATCCGCTCTCCCAGGACCCTGCATTCACTATATCCGCTCTCCCCGGACCCTGCATTCACTATATCTGGTCTCCCCAAGACCCTGCATTCACTATATCTGTGGTCTCCCCAGACCCTGCATTCACTATATCTGGTCTCCCCGGACCCTGCATTCACTATGTCTGGTCTCCCCGGATCCTGCATTCACTATATCTGGTCTAATCCCCGGACCCTGCTTTTTACTATATCCCGGTCTCCCCCGGGACCCTGCATTCACTATATCTGCGCTCCCTGGACCCTGCATTCACTATATCCGGTCTCCCCGGACCCTGCATTCACTGTATCTGCTCTCCCCGGACCCTGCATTCTCTATATCTCACCTTATCCACTCTCCCTGCATCCTGCATTCACATATCTGGTCTCCCACAGTACACACAACATGGAAATGCAATTATTTGAATAAATACAAACTGCTAAATATGTTTGCTCATCAGCAGTATATAGTAGTCTTGTGACTTCTATCAGTGTCCAGCTGGGCACTGGTTAAAGCTTATAGGAAAGGTATGCATTCTGCTCTAGAAGGATGCATACCCCTGAGCTCTGTCTGAACAGTGCTGATTGGCCATGTGCTGATCCCATGCACCCTCCCAAAGAAAAAAAAAACCTCTCTAGCAGCACACACTTAACTGAGCATGTGCAGAATGACACCTAGAGCTCTGTACTATCAGCAGATGGATTGTAGACAGTAGAAGAAGGGGAGGATCAGAGAAGTGGTCAGATCCCCTGTATACAGACACATAGCTGGCAGTAAACACACACTGTTGTGGATATGTACTGTAAGAATTGTGAGTGCTCAGAGACGTATAATCCAATGTAGATTTGTGTGATTTCCCGCCACTCCCTCCTATTATTATAGGAGTCTCCTCCTGAGTCATGAGACATGAAGGGTTCCATGGTGTAATGGTTAGCACTCTGGACTTTGAATCCAGCGATCCGAGTTCAAATCTCGGTGGGACCTTCTTTTACATGAAGAAGCAACAAAGAAAACATTGAGAAAGTAAGACGTCCACCAACTCTCTGGTTGGTTTGGCCAAGTGGTTAAAATGGAAGTAAGGACCCTAATAGTGCCCATACACTAGACGAAAAATCATGAGAAAATCTGTCATTTGGACAGTTTGATTGTTTTCTGTCCATTTAAAGTGTTCCTAAACCCACAACAGTCAAATCAGTCTGTACAGTTGTGCTCAAAAGTTTGGGACACCCTGGCAGAAATTGTGAAATTTCAGCATTGATATTGAGAATATAACTGATCATGTCAACAAATGCTCTTTTATTGAAGGATGATGGTCATATGAAGCCGCTTATTATCCAATAGTTGTTTGGCTCCTTTTTAAATCCTAATGATAACAGAAATCACCCAAATGGCCATGGTCAGAAGTCCCCGCCCCCCGGATCAGAAGTCTCCGCCCTGTATCAGAAGTCTCCACCCCCTGGATCAAAAGTCTCCGCCCCCTGGAATGTTTGGCTTTGGTACAGACACACAAGGTGACACACACGGGTTACAATGCCAATTAGAGGTTAATGTCCCACATCTGTGGCTTTTTAAATTGAAATTAGTGTCAGTGTATAAATA